GAGCGCGGCGGGCCCCGCTCCGCGGCGTGCGCCGGCAACCATGAACTTTCTGCTCACTTGGATCCACTGGGGGCTGGCGGCGCTGCTCTATCTCCAGAGCGCGGAGGTAAGCGGCGGGACGGGGGCTTTTGTGCCACGCGTACCGGAGGGGGTGGGAGGGCAGACGGCCGAAAATACTTTTTTACCCCCTCTTTTTGTTTTCTTGCCCCCCCTCTGCCTCCCACCTGCTCGGTGCGGTGCCGCCACCCTGTCGGCGCCGGGTGCGGGTGGGTGCCCGCAGCGCAGACACGTGTGCGTGCGGTGCTGTAGCTGGGGGGACAGCGCTGCCCGGAGCTCCGCGGGCCTCCTGGGCAGCCGGCAGAGCCGTACGGAGTATCCGCGCACATGTGCGCGGCGCGGCGCGGGGCTCCCGGGGCGGCGCGGCCGGGGGTCCCGCCAGGGTCGGGGCGCTGCGGCCGGCGGGGCGCGGGGCACAGAGGCAGCGCGCCGGCTTCTTGCATCAGCCTCGCCTCCCGTCCTCGGGTCTCCTGACATTGCAAAAGGGTGTTTCGGCGGTATTTGCCTTGGGTCCCAGCTCGGGTTCGTACCGGCGAGTGGAGTTCAAAATGCCTAGATGGAAAAACAAATAGAGATCAAAGAGGACAAAATGGATCCTGAATTTCTTCCAGATTGGGGAAAAAAAAATTAATCAAAATACATATCTCCTGCACCGAGATTACAAAATCATGGATTTTTCTCTTCTCTTCCTCTTCAGTCACTTTTTACCTCATTGCTATTCCTGACGGATTAGAAACCAACTCTTTCTCTTTTTCTTTCTCTTTTTAAAGAAAAAAGAAAGGCAGCTTCCTGTGCAAACCTGTCCTATAAATCTGTTTTCTAAAGAGTCAAGAGGGCTGTGTTGCCAAGAGATATTAAGGGGTTTAGACAGAGTGCCCACGTGAAAGTGGCTGTTCGTGAGGCAGGCATGGATTACGTTTTAAAGGTTATAACAGGTTAGTTCTCTCCTGCCATTTCTCCTCGGCACTTGGAGAGAGCGTGGGCCAGATCATCTCCCATAATCATGAAAATAAACGCCGCTTGCAAACTAATCAGTTATTCACATTGTTTGTTCAGCACCGATGCTAGAAGGCAACTCCCCAATTAGGAGCCATTTCAACTGTAACTGAAGTCATGCAAGCACTGCACGCTTTGTTTCTAGCCTGTTATATCTCTACTTTATACAGTGACAGCCGCACATTAGGCTGTGCTGGATGGGAACTGAGGTGCAGCTCTCACTTGAGTGTGGCACAGAGCAGCTCCGTGCTGCCTGCCTGCCAGATTTGGCTTGTGGGACAATTTTTTCCATTCTCCAAGAGTTTTTCCACAGTCACCCAGGACAGGGGTTTTTTTGCCTCCCAGCTCCTCAGCAAACTTGTACAGTAGCATCTGTTCCCCAGCTATAGGTTAGACAACTGTATCGGTGTCTAGTGATAATACCCTTTAACCCTCCCCTTGTTCCTTCTCCCCTCCCCTTCCTCTTCCCCAGAAGAGGAAACGGCAGATCAGGTAGAGTCTAGATCTGTCTGTCCTCAGGAGCTGCATAAAAGCCTCATGCTGCCTTTTCTCCCAGGCTGGAGGACGGTGCAGATGAGAAAATAGAGAGTATAATGGTGGGAAAAAAGGTAGGGAAAAATTACAGGGGTTTGGGGGTAAATGTTGCAGGAACACATGCATGAGAGATTGGTAGAGGTTCGGGTACCTGGGTGATGTGGGCCATGGTAAGTGCTCAGGCAGATTGACGGTGAGGTCTGCCCTTCGGTTCTGTCCTTATTTGTCCGTTGATCGTCCGGGCACCGCGGTGATGGGAACGTTAGAAATACCAGCAGATCTCACGTAGGCAGCTTGACGATGACTCTGGGCATGGCAGAAGGCATGACTCTTCACGCCGGGACTAGGGTTTTGTGCTTTGATGATAATATTTATCTGTACTGTTAATCTGGCTGTCATACTGAATAAAACCTATCTAGCTAGCCAGGCGCGTTAGAGAGCATTAAATAAAAGCTCTGGCAGAGTCTGAGTTGGGAAAGCAGGGTCCAGCATGTGCTGGGCAGCTTTCCTGGAAGTGAAGGAAGAGGGATGCTGGAATCAAGGTTCCTCTGGTGAAGGTGGCAGGGGGATGACTCCTTACTGAGGGAGTTGTTACGGTCACTCCTGCAGCAAGACTGGGATGGTGGGAAATTATTTCATAGTTGGGTCTGGGTGGTGCTGATGCCACAGGTGTCTGCCTCCACTGGTGGTGATAGCCTTTCTGTGCAGGAGAGGGAGGGAAGGGTGCTTTTGCAGTGCTGCCTTCCCAGCTGATTGACTCTGCTGAGCTGTACTGCACAGTCCTCATGCCCCATGGGATCAGAGAAGTTACATTGTTGTCCCCTTCCAGTCACCCATTTCCTAAAGAATGGGGGACAGTTGGTCATTCCCCATCTTCCTTTGTCTGCGGGTTTTGCTGGCAGCCTGGTGACAGGTAACCCCTGATGAGGGTCTAGGAGTCTTACTCTCCTGCAGTGAACAGTGGAGAGACCTGGATATACCAAGTGTATTGCCACAGGGAACAGGCAGCGATTAGACACTGAGGGAGGGAGAGCAAGCCTGTGACTAGACTGCTAATGATCGCACACCCACCAGGCTCCCTGCCTTTGGTGTGCCTCTGCACCAGGCCACGATGGGGAGCCACCAGAACCTGCTTCCCCAGCCTGTAGGCAGCCGGGACGCAGCGGGTCACCTTCCCCAGAGCTGTTCCAGGCCCATGGTCTGAGGACAGGCTGGGAACAGGAGTGCTCCTATGGGAGCAGGGGAGAGGGAAGCCCAGGCTGACACATGAGGGGTTCACTGACTCCTGAGCAACCTCAAACCCATTCTCCTGTCTGTTCTGTTCTGTCAGAGGTGCCTCAGCTGTGCTGGCAGTTTCTGGGATTACTGACCTCTGTCTGCATGTACAATGGAGAAGGAGTGTAGTGAGTCCTGTCCCCCCCTCCTCTAAGTAGAAACCTCTGAGAATTTCTAGTGCCTAAGACGAAAAGTGCCTTAACTCCTGTCCCAGAGTTCCTCTCAAAGTGGATGGATTGTTTGTTCCAGTCCTAAACAGTTACAAAGCTCTTTTAATGAGGCTGCACAGATTAGGGGGAGGGGAAGGGAGAGAAAGAGTGCTGGTGGTGGTGGTGAGGGGATGGTTAGAGAGGAATGACTTGATTAACCTTTTCTCTCCCTTCAGAGGAAAGCTTGCTCCCTTGGGGGAGAAGGAAGACAGGGAAGGTACAGACACACGGATGGTGTGAAAGTGGGTTTATTTCTTAGGGAGGGTTTTACTCCACGGCAGGAATGTGCATTAGCTGCGACCTGCAAAGGGCACAGAAAGAAGCTTCCTCTTTGTCAGCCCCATTCCTGGGGTCATTTATCCCACTCTCGAGGCCAGGCCAGGGGTTACTTCCACACTTCTGTGAAATGTTGAAAATCTGTTGGAAAAAAATTGTGTTACAGAACTGTTGGGTAATGCTAAAAGCCAGCAGAGGAGAGTGTGACCTTCAGGCTCCCACCGAAGGGCACAACTGGGCCTGCTTGTCCCATGGAATGTTTTTGGTTGCCCATTGCCCTGTCTGATATGTAGCAGACTGGTTTAACGTGAGGCACAAGACTCCCTTCACCTGCTGTTCTAGTGGATGTGCTTTGAGGGCACTAGCCACAGGTGAAAGGCACTGCTGAAAGGGCAGAAAAGTTTCTTGGAATAGCGAGCAGAGAGTGTGTTACTGATAGTTCTGGGAAACCTTTCCAGTTTCTGCTGAGAGTTCTGCTGGGAATGCTCAGAAGCTCTCTGCACACTTTGCACAGATCTCATTGCCCATCCTTGATGTGGGATCATGTCCCAGGTCTAGGTGAGTGCTGGAAGACTGTTCTGGCTCCTGTTCCACTACATCGGGGCAGGGCAAGGTGCTGGCTAGGCACAGGTGAGCAGTGAAAGCGTGTGGCTTGCTTCTGCTTCTCATTACTTGTACACCATGTGTGTTTGCATCTGAGGAGGCGGTGGGCTTGGCAGCCCGCCGGGCAGCCTTGCATAGAGAATGGGTGAAAATGTCCCTCAAGGTGACTCTGAGCTCATTTTGCTCAGTTTGTCATGGTCATTTTGTGTGTGAACCAAAAATCCCTCTGCAAAAAGTCTTGGGGGCATTGTGACTTGGATAAACTGACTTGGCTTGTGATCCTCTTCCTGTGCCGTAGCAGATCGAGGCTTTTCTGCCCTTGATGCGGTTTTCCTTTTACCCATAGATTGTCAGGCACTGAGTGGCTTTGGAAGGCCGCTGCAACCTCCGCTGCCTCCATTTTGTTTGTGCTGTTGCAGTGACCTTTACACTTCAGGAATGAAACTGTTTCTAGGAACCTGCTTTTTAAAGTTTTGTCACAGCCCTGAGGTTCGGCACACAGCCCTCTCCTCCCCAGAGAAGAAACAGATCCATGCATGGGGTGGTTCAGGTCTGGGCTGGTGAGTTATGCCCAGGTACAGAAAGACTTTGGTTGAAATGAGAAGCAAGTTTGGTCAGGGGAACCTTAGGTAAAAGGAACTGTGCACAGACACAAAGGAATGTCTTGGAGAGGGGCTTCTAGCTTGCTCTCTTGCCCCCTTCTTTTAAAAGCTGACACTTTGGGCAGCTCGGATGCTGGTGCCGCCCTGTGCACGGAGCTGCCTAGAAGACCATAGGTGGCTGATTCACATTATAAGCTTGAGGTGGACTTGGCCTTCTTAATTCAGCTCTGTCTTTGGCTGTGAGATCGGAGGGCATTTTTCTAAGCCTAAAAGCTTTGTGTGTATCACCACGCTCCTTTTGGGCCTCTGGTGAAAGGCAGGAAGTTCTGGGGTGGATGGCATCACACAGGTGGCAGCGTATCTCGGGAGAAGTGAAGAACGCTGGGCATTTTTCGTTTTGGTTCAGAACAGAACAGCAGGGGGAAACCTGACGGCTGGAAAGTTACGTCAGAGGTAAAGCCCTCACGAAGAGCAGGAGGAGTGGATTTCTTGTTTCACCTGGTATTAAAAAGACTTCCTTAGTAAAGTGGTGTAATGCTTCTCCATACAGATCTGGGGGTGGGTTACCTGTCACCACAGCTGCCTGTGTCAGTGGTTTGGAAATGCCCCTTGTCCCAAGAGGCAGCAGGAGTGAATGCAGAGCTTGCGGACTTTTTGATTCCCGTCCAGGGGAAGCCGCGGGGAGCGCAGGAATGGGATCGACGCAGGGGCTGGGGACCGGGACCGTTAGGCGGGAGCGCGCGTCACCCTCCCTTCCAGCAGAGAGGAAGGAAATCTGGGCGGTTTGGCTGCGTCTGTCGGCAAAGTGGTGCTGTCACAGTTAATCGCCCTGACACCCGGCCAGATGCCGACACCTCGGTGGCCACCACTGCTGGGCGACAGACATGTGTGACATTGAGAGGGGAGAGATGCCCTTTCACGCCTGGCCGCCCTTCTCCCCACCTCTGCCCTCCCGGACCGGGTTCACCTTTACGGGAGGAAGCGGTGCCGAGGCCCACCAGTCATGTCGGCGGCAGCAGGTCACCCCCGTTACTTTTCTCCTCCGGGCACAGATTTGCTCCCGGTGTTTGCCCGCAGTTACTGACAGCGGCTCCCCGGGGACGCGTGTCTCCCTTTGGGGGCCTCTCTCGGGCCCGCCGCACCGCCTGGCCAGCCCCGTCTGCCAGCCCGCGGCCCTGCCGCCCGTGCCCCCCTCGGCTCCCCGGGGGACGGGGGGAACAAAAGGTCCCTCTGTGCCCGCCGGGGCGGCCAGCGGGGAGCGGCTCCGCCTCGGGGGCGCACTCTCCCGCCGGGGCTCCCTCCGCCCCCCCGCCGGCGGCGGGACCGGGGCCCTCAGCCCCTCCCCGGGATCCCCCCGCGCCCCGGGACCGCGTCACGGTTCCGTGTTGTGACTGATTCTGTGTTGTCTTTGCAGTTGTCGAAAGCTGCGCCTGCCCTGGGGGACGGGGAGCGGAAACCTAATGAAGGTAAGCGCTGGGCGGCTTCCCGGCGGGCGGGGGCGGGCGGGGGCAGGAGCCCCCAGAGCCGGAGGCGGCCAACACCGCCACCTCACGGGGAGCGGGCGCAGGGGGCAGCCGGCGGGAGGCGCCGCCGCCATCGGCCCCTTCGTGGCGGCTGCACCGCCCCACGCCGCGGGCCCGGGCCGGATCGTGGGGCCGAGGCGGCCACGGAGCCTGGGCGGGCAGCAGGGCTGGCCCAGCCCGCTGCTGGCTTACCACAACTCAGAGGGAAACTGCGTGCGTGCGTGCGCTAGTGCACATACGCACGCTCATTTATATATATATATACACACACACACACGGGCGCACACAAAGAGCTGGGTAGCAGCGAGCAGTTTGCTGGGGATTCGCCACAGTGCTGTAGGAAGGGATTTGTCATCTTGTGCTGCCCGCCTCTTTCCCGGGGGCGCTGGCGGTGCCCGTCTGGGTGGCCAGGGCTGATCCCGAACAAAAGCCAGAGCAGAACCCAACGGCCCCCAGGCAGCAGGTCCCCGGGGGGGAGAGAAGGAGAAAAGGGCCGTCCAGGATGATTTTCTGGTCTCATTCTTCCCGACAGTCCCAGGTACACCCCAGTCAGGATATTGCTGGGTGCTGTACAGAGCCAGGCTCGAAAAATACACCTTTTTACTCCAGTTGGAGCTAGCAGGCTTTGCAGGTGCAGGGGACAGCAGTGTGATCTGATAGGTTCTACTTAATTCATTCCTGGTGGTCCAGTACAGATGGGACTACTGCCTAATAGGAAATGAGGTGGTGCCTCTGCTGCTGTTGTGATTTTTGTGTTTCTCCAGCTGCCCAAAGGCCAGGCTGTGGAAGCGTTCTCTGCCTCGTTGGTTTGCGAAAGTAAATGTAGATCAGAAGGGCAGTCAGCCCTCTGGGGTTGGTCAGAGATGCCTCCTGCAAGCAGCTTGTCTAGTGGAGCCCTGCGTGTGTCAGGAGGTTGGCTTTCTGTCCACAGTCCTCAGTTCAGCAGTGGGGTAAAAGGGCTGTGGACTTTGGAGCCTTCAGGCTGAGGTGATCATCAGGTGCTTTAGGACCATCCTGACTGTGTTTTCCCCTTACCTTCGTAGCAGAGCAGGTCACTCGTTGTATGGCAGGGTTGGCATAGTGTCTTGCAGGGTCCCCACAGGCTGTGACCTTCAGCGTTATTCCAGCCGGAGGTCAGCAGAGGGCTCCAGCAGTGTGGCTCCAGATTGGCTTTTTCTTTTTTCTTTTTTTTCCCCTTAGGTAGCAGTCAGTTTCAATTTCTGTAACTTTATTGGTGTGACAGACTGCACGTGTGTTGCTAGAGGTTTGTGGCAGGCTGTGTTTGCGATAGGTATCCATTTTGCATGGGTGAAATTTCTGATTTGCTGGCAGGCTGCTGCCTGTTGCGCTTGACCCTTGCTCCTGCTGAAGTCAACAGAAGAAGGTTCAGTGCCTCCAGAGGGATCAAGATGGAGCCTGCTGTGAGGCTTATTTTGGTAACCAGTCCTCTGCTGTTGGTAGAAAAGAGCTAGTGTCCTCATCTCTGCCATTCGTTGTGTCCAACAAATCCCTCCTGGGGAGGGGAAGAATCAAACAGAATTAACTTCTGTCACAAGAAGGCTGATGGAATTGCAGGAGAAGTTGGTCTGGCAGTATAAGTGGTGAGACTTAGGTGTATTGTCTTGGTGCTATTTCTGGTTCTGCAATGTAGAGATGTATCGGTGAGCTAGAAGTCAGGACTCCTGGCATTACCTTGTCTCCTGCCGTTTGACCTTAGAGGTCCTGTCTCTATACCTCAGTTTCTCCTTTGTGAAGAGGAGACAGTGATGGGCCTCTGTTACACAAGGACAGTCGTGTAGTTCCTTCTGCTGAAGCTCTTGGGGGCTTTGAGTTTGGTGTGAAAGGTGGTTTTGTGTCTTTGGCCGTTTTGTGCTTGCTCTGAGATTTCAAGTGGTGACAGGTCTTTATTTGGGATGGACTTACTCTGGTTGGAGACTGTAATTTTAGCTTCAGCCCCTACCCTTTTGTGCTCAAGAGAGTCTTCCACATGTTTTGTGGCACGGGAAGTTGTAGAGGAGTCGGACAAACACTCTTTGTTCCACGAGAAAAGATTTTCTGGTATAAATAAAGGAAACCACCAGCACTTGTGGCTGCACTTTTATTTTTAAAAGAACAGCATGTCTGTATTGCTCCTAAGCCATTGATGGGGAGGGAGGCAGAATGATCATAGACTTTCCCCTTTTCTAGTCCAGCATGTTCCCACTCGACTGCTCCAAATTTGGACTGAATCCTGCCTGCTGTGTCTATGTCTGCCTCGAAGAGTTAATGTGGGCTCTGACTGAGTTTTAACCTTGCTTCCCTCTCCATTCACAATGAAGAACCTCTGACTCAAATCTGGAGGTGTTTTGCAGGGTAGGGGTGTGGGTTAATTGCAGGATTAACTTCTAACATGGGCTGAAGCCCAAATTGCAGGAAGGGAGCAGGCCAAGTGGTGTTAGTCCTTTGGTGACCTTCCTATGCTTCTCCATGAAAGACAGACCTTCTTCCATCCCTGACACAGCTAATGGAAAGGAAGCACAGACTGAATCAGCCTGGCAAAGTGTGGAATGTGACTCCCAGTACATAGGGGTAGAAGTGTAGGTGTGGTAGCAGGGGCAGGGCTTTGCTGTGGGGATGGCTGTACCTCAGTCATGTGCTCCAGTTTGGTTTGGGTGCTAACTGTGCAAATGAACTATGGAGTGTTGCGCAGTCTCAATGTGCAATGTCTTGCTCTGTGTCCAGCTAAATCAAGGCAACATACCTTTCCTGGCAGGATTTTCTGACTGGCAGCTAGGGGAAGATTCCCTGTTCCCTTTTCAGAGGCCGATTCAGACTTTGTAAAATCATCATGTGTTAAAGGTGAAAACTCCTGGATTCTTTATGGGAAGGATTTGGTCTTGTCATATCTTCCAGATCTCAAGTATAGTTGTTGGGGTGCAGCAGTGAAAGTAAAGGCTCTGGAAAAGAAGTTGAATGTGCTATTCTGTGGCCAATCTGTAGTCTGGATTCTCTGGTGTAATCCAGCTGCTTGGGAAGTGCAAACATTTAAAAAAGTGTGTAAGGCATTGATCAGTTTCACTTCAGCTTTCTGCTCTGTTTTGGTTTTTGCCTTCTTTATGCCCCAGACTGATGTGGTGGGGAGGATTTGATTTGTACAGCTAACTGATGCTTTTCCTCTCTCTTACCTTCCATCCCTCCCCTTGATGTAGATCTGTAAGCATTTTTATCCAGAACTGTGCCTTTTCTGCCCGAGTTCCCAGATCCTTTCTGCTGGCACAATAATCAACAGTGCAATTCAGCAACTGTCATTGTGCCTGGAGAATTTCCCACATATTAAATTGTTCAACTTGTTGGAACATAGGCAGTAACTAAGGTCACTCTGAAGGGGAACAGGAAGAATGAGGTAGCCACAGACAAGATAGGAGAATAGATAGGAGATATACTCCACTTAGGGGAGGAGGGAAGAGGAAGGGAAGGAACGAGGAGCAGAAACATGCTGTCTTCTAGACAAGGAATACCAACAAGCAGTCCATGCCTGCCAGGCTACATTTGCCTTTCACAGGCCACTTTCTCTTTTAATAGCCGCTCACGCTCTCTGACACTTCAAACTCCTTGGATGGAAGCTCCTCCCCTCTTGTACCCGCTCTCATCACTTCAGCACTGGGGCACTGTCAGCCCTGCATGATCTAGAATTAACTTTCAACAATTAACTGCGGGCTGTGAGCTCCAAGCCGTGAAGCTTTTGCATTTTTGTGGCAAAGTAACCTTTATGCCAGTTTGTCACAAGTTCAGGGCACTTTAGAAATGCTTACTGGAGACCATTATTTTCCATGATGCAAGCAGTTTGCTCTTATCACTCTGAGTTATCAACCTTAGTGCTGTAGGACTCTGCATACTGTACAGGTGGATCATTATAGTGCATAACAGCATGGGGCAGGTACTATCTCTTTGTGTGTACTCTTATCCTGTGCTCCATTTGAGACATCCTCCGTTGCCAGCATGCTGGTAGAGCTAGGAGGCCTGGAGGGCTCCAGGTACTCGCTGTTTGCAGTAGTGTACTAGCACCTGGGTTTTGTGCGTGTGTACTTATCTGTCCTATCTCTCATCTCTTTAAATCTCTCCAACCCTTGACCAAGCAGCAAAATGAAGCTTTGGCAAGAGACTGGGAAACATTGAGAAA